AAACACAGGGCTTTTGGAAGCGTTAGATAGTGCTGCAAAGACTGGAATAAACTAGCAACCCCACGCTCATCCAGTGGTGCCACGCTTCCATCTCAATATGTTATGAAAAAAGCATTTTATTGAATGGCCAACTGTTACTACAGAAGATAATGCCAGAATATAAATAATTCATCATAAAATCATAGACAAAATTTAGATTGGAAGGGACCTACAGAGGTCACACGGTCCAACCTCCTGGGTAAAGCAGGGAGGCCTTTGACATTAGATCAGGTTGCTTTGGCCCTTGTCCAGCTGAGCTCACACTCTCTCTATAGAGGCAGGAGATGCTGCAGCCTCACTGGGCTGCCTGCTCCAGTGCTTGACCACTCACTAGACAAATTTGTTTCTCTCCTGAAGCCCAGCTGGAATTTCCCTTAGGGCAGCCTGTGCCTGTGGCCTCTTGTCCTTTTGCTGCCAGTGACTGTGAGAAGAGTTTGGTGCCATCTTCTCCAGATCCTCCCTCTGTTTTTGGTAGAGAAAGACTGCAATTAGGTCCCCTATCAGTTGTCTTTCCTCCAGGCTGAACCAACCTGGTTCCTCAGGCTCTCCTGGTGCATTGCGTGCTCCAGCCCCCTGACCACCTTGAGGGTCTTTTTTTTTGGACTCAATTGCTCTGCCTTCATACTGAAGATCTTTACATTACTAGGAGGCTAAAATAGTTACAGTGGTTATCTAAGCCTCTCTTGATTTACCTCCTTTCATTACACTTGTATTTGAAAATTGTGTTCTACTAATATATTTTCTAATCAAGAAGGCATTTCCCAGTCTTTAGGCCATTACTCTAGAAGTCTTTCAACTAATGCCAAAGTTCTAACATTAGGGTTTTTTTTTTTTTGGTTCTGAATGTGAAGGCCTTATGATCTTCATTAGCATACAGTAGGTGATTCTTTTTCATAGAGTTTAAAGGGGAATTTTAATTTTCTTCTTTCAAGTATTTTTTAACTGCTTGAAGAATTTTCCTGGTATTGAAGAATACAGCTTTAAATGTTCCAAAAACTTAAATTACAGGTGGGAAGAAAATCTCATGCTTCTGTTGTTTTAATATAGACTTCAGCAGAATAAAGTAATGTGGACACTTTTGAAAAACCTGAACAACCTCTAAAATCAGAGTTTCGTACTCTCAAACTGTGTTTAAAATTTTAAGGGTTAGCTTGGAATACTGGGAAGGTAATAACTACTAAAATCAGAACTGCCTCCCCCCCCCCAAAACAAACAAACAAACAAACAACTGCTGTGTAAATATATGCCATGGAAATTCACATGAAAAATTTGAATTTTATTGGAGAATACAGAAACAGAATAGAAGCAGTTTTGAGAAAAATATGGAGTATTTTTTTCCTAGTTAATCAACTACAATGTTTTGATTTTAGAAGAAATTAGGGTGTATTTGGGTATTTAATAACTGGGATGTAAATGATAATTTTATTGGGTATGTTTGCTTATGGGGGGGGGCAGATTTTACTCTCTGTTCCTTCTCCTAAAGGAACAGCTTCAGCTTCACGGCAGTCAGCAGATGTCTCTTAGTGAAACCGAGATCCACCCCCTATTCTCAACAAATGGTTTGTTCTTCCTGACCTAAAAATGGCAACTAAGGAAGAGAATTTGAAATGCAACTTATTTATTGAATTATTTATCCATTGAGTAAATATGCATTGTCAATTTTTATGTCAACAAGGACGGTAGGAATGCGCTTTGGCAGTTACCATTGCACATTTCTCTTTTCAAAGAGAAATATTAATTTAGAAAAAGAGTAAGGTTGCTAATTTCTTTCACAAAAAGAGACTATTTAAAAGGTAATCATATTCTAGGGACCTGGCTTTCGTTAGTCTATCTGTCTGGAGTATTGTACTACATCAGTTAAAAACAGAGACATGAAATGATTTTTTGTTTATATTTATTGTCAGCAATACATCAGTTATGTAAAAATAACCCATATGAAAATGTAAGACTTGTTACATTTTCACGTCATCTGTATTAACTGAATAAAGCTTAGTGACAATATACACTAATTTGCAGTAGTTGTACGTAAACATTTTGTGCATTAAAAAAAGAAATATACATAATTTAAAAAATAAAAATGCATTACACAATTTACAAATTAACATTAACAAAAAAAAGGTAAACATTCCTCAGACAGCTGCCTCTTTGTTCTACAAAATAAATATTCAAGTAAATTAAGTTAGGCAAAATAAACTCTTAACTTTGGGTGAGCACAATTTACATTTAGGTAAAAAGACAGATTTCCATTTCATTCAAGGTATATCTTACAGTGATTTATACACAGAATTTTTAAACTGGTCTCTTCAGATTGTAATATTGGAAAATGGACTTTACATTTTGGCAGGAGGAAGGGAGTTTCAAAATTGGTGCTTTATACCAAATATAAATAAGCTTGTGCAGGAGCACCAAACCTTTGAAAAGGAACTGCTCCAGGACTCAAAGCAGACACAGTCATCTAAAAACTACAGATTTAAAAAGGAAATTACAAACCACCACATCAACAGGAAAATGCCTACTCTGCTATTTTCTGCATGGTTTATTTGATCACTGGAAACATTACTTTCACAAACTAACAATCTACAGTAGTGGCTGCTTTAGGCACTGGATTTGAAGAAGCACTCTGATTTTTAAAGCAAATACTTTTCATTCTATACTGATACTTACCCTATTACTTATTACTGTTTCAATGCTAAAAGGCTTAATCGCTTTTGCAACTTTTAGCTTTACATACTACGTCATCCCTCCTTATAGCCTAGTAAGCTTTTCTTGATAAAGAAAGAAGCCATTCTGGCTTCAAATTTCTGTGCACTTTATTTTTAAAAATAAAGACAGATTGAACAGATTTTAGATGCAGCAGGAGTATGATGCAGATGTGCACCTCCACAATTCACTGACCAGCTATAAAATGTAATACATATTAAAACACTGGCAAGGATTGCAAAGGCCAAACTTTCTTTAAACTTTTTCCTTTTCTTCATTTGTCATTTTTAAACAGTGAGAAACAGGAGATGGCATACTTTAATAACTCTCAAGTTGCTAAATTCTGACATTTAGGGCATAATAACCTTCAAGGCAAGAACTAGACAAGAGCGTCCAAGACCTGCCAGTATAATAAATAATGATGATTTGTTATCAACAAAAGAAACTCTGTTCCCTCAAATGATATTGGTCCAACACTACTCGACAACCCAAATCACACTTTTTAAAGTAGAGGAATCATGATTTCCACGTGATATATATAACTTGTAAAAACTTTAAACTTTTCCAACCTTAATTTTTTATGTCTGATTAAATAGGAATCAACTAGATTTTTGTTGTTTCTTATTCAAGAACTTTGAATATTTGTTTTTTTCTCTGGATCTTTACAGAGCGATGCCAGACTGAAGCCCTCAGTCCTGCTGCACACATATGTGAATAAACCACTGCTGCACTAGGTGGCCGTGGCACTTCACCAGCGGTCGCAGAATCAAGATATAAAGTAAGAAATGTAACCTGTACAATAGCTTCTTACTATTTTTTCCTTTGCTTATCATTCCAGCTCAGGTGAATACCTCTGCAAGGAAGGAAGATCATTTTCTTTGTGCTGTAACACCACACTGGTAATATAAATTAGCTAGGCTAAACTAGGACCATAATCTCTCTTAACATTGCGCAAAATGCGCATTGATTCTAAGAATTATTTTATACGGAACAAGGTTAGGTATTTTTAAGGACTGATGTAACCCACTGATGTCGACGAGAGTCTTGTCTTTGATTACAGTGGCTTACATGGATTACATCGGTTACAGTGGGCCAAAGCTTGCAAAAGCTACAGTTTTCTTTAATGTGCAAAAACTGGTGCTTCTTTAGTAAATATTGTGATGAATAGGCAGAAATGGTTTAGGTTATAAAAAAGACCTGAGAACCTAATAGTGAACTTTACACAACAATTATCTTTGAGAGGTTGCCTGATAAAAGTTCTGTAATTGTATTGCTTAGTAGTGGCACCGTCACTTATATGCAGAAGTCGTTTTGTGAGAACAACTCTTCTCAGGCCATGAATCCCATTCATAACAGGCATGTAGATACACAATGGCAAGTTGATGTGCTTCATGTTGGAAGCATAACACCAACGAGCCATAAGCACGGAAGAGGTCAACAGCGAGCTTTTATACTGCCAGAGTTTTAAAAAAGTTATGACTATTAAAATGGCAGAAGTACTGATCTTATTCTTTACTTGCCAGTACGCTTAAGAGTTTAGCAGAACAATTAGTAGTCTATCCCATTATCTTACCTAGAAAAGACAAAAGGGCTCTGAGTCTTGCACTGTCAGCAACACTGAAAATGCTTTCACTAGTGAAATAAAAATAGCAAAAAAACTTTTCTTTCAGTTGAACAAACAATCAGAATACCTTTTCAGATAAATAAGTATGTCACTCATGATTAGAGGGCAACCACTTTTCTTTTTCTTTTTTCTTTTTTAACAAAGTTAACAAATATAAAAAATCTAGCCATAAACAGCCTTCAAAGTACAATTAGAAACCAGCAGGACAATCTATATTTGTATAGGTAGATGGGGCAAGAAACTAGACATTTGTATTACTGCCACGATATAGACTACAAATGGCCGCGGCGATGAGAAACAGTGTATACGGTATACGTCGTTAGCCGATCCCATCCAGGTGCAGTCCACACTGAACTCTACTCTCTTCAGGATTTAAGACCTGTCTCCTTGACACTCCTTGCACAAGACACATTATCATCCTTTCTGAAAAGAGGCAGTTTCTATGGCAATACTAGTTAAGTGCATATCATGCTGCACTAATATAGTGCAAAAATTTGCCTTACATGTAGCAAAAAAGATGCAGGCAACAGTTTGAGTTAGAGAAAGTAGAAACATATTGTAAAATTTACAACGGGTATCATTTTTCCAGACAGTAACCGCTAGAAAATACTGAATCTGAGAATGCCTCCCTTCTTGATGTACAGCTGAGGCATTTATACTTTGGAGTGATAACAGGACAGAATTTTGCAAGTGAGTCATTGCCCTCTGAAATGCAGGTGAACACGAGTTATCAATTGCCAAACTGTTGAACTTGCTCTGTGGGTTAATCTCAGTTAAAAGTTAATATTTTGCTAAGCACTAAAATGCTCTTTAACAGGTATATAGTCTGACAGAGTAATACATATGGTTCAACTGAGTATATATGTTATGCTTGAGTATAAAGAGTCATAGACAGCTTGGTACAAACTCTTCATGCGTACTGATTATACTTGGTTAATGTTGCAGGGGCTTTCAAAACTATGTCAGCTACAGTGTTCTGGAGACAGAAGTGGTGCTTACAGTTTTGTAAGATCGAGGAAAGACCACAAATATCTCCAACTGCAGTGTCTATTAAAGTGATTCTGCCAGAATTCTCAGTGTTGATGGTCTAAAGTAAAGCAATAATACCTTGAATATCCGTAGGCATTATGAAATCCATCCTTTATCTATGGTGCAGTTACAAAAAAGAAAAAAGTCAAAACACTTAATCCACTCCATAGCAAATCCCTGTGGCTTTGGATACCTTCTGATTTTGATCCAATAATTCAGATTCCATTTGTCGCCATGGGAAGGTCTATTTTACATATCCGCATCTCCATCATAAGCCAAGGTTAAAGGTTTCAGTCGGTTGTTCTGCCTTCGCTGGGGCTTCTTTGGCTTTTTGCTGAAATGGTAAGATAATTAGTACATAGAACAATAAACTAATAACATGGAAAGTATGGATTTCATTCTTAAATTAAAAACTACAGCTTCATTTAAACTCACACATCTGATTGTTGGTTGGGTTAAAGCCATATGCCTAAAAACTTTACTTTGATCCATAATTCTTTCTTTAACAACCCAAAGCAGCACCAATTCAAAGCTCAATTGTTGAGAAATAGACTGTTATGATACTGATGAGACTTGACGAAATCCTTGGCAGGAGATGGACAATCCTGCAAGATCACTCGTTTTCAGAAAACCCCAGAACCTACGGTGGAATATTGGTGTATCAAAATCACAAATAGTTTTTTAATTATGTTAGGTCTTAACTTCTCTTGACACATCAGGAGTTCCATATTGGGCAGCATCCTTTTCGTTAGTGTATCTCATGATACTTGCCAACGTGACTAAGGTTAATTTTAGATGTTATAATCCAATGTATTGTAAACAGGTTGGGGTTGCCAGCCATAATCGTGCCCTGGCTAACCTTATATTAGACTTTAATCCAGCAGTACTTCCAATTCATTTTACATAGTTTTAAAAAACTACCAAACCAAAGGAAAAAGTCTGTTTGCACTTTTTTAATCTTTAGATAGAATATACACTCTTTAGTAGTACTTGTCTTCTTTTAGAGTATAATATAAGCGTTTCTTTAAACCAGGCCTATGCATCCTCACCCTTGTTCAAAAAGTTTCTCCCAGGTGTGTCACTTAGATTGGTAAAATCTAAACCTACGTTCCCAGAATAGTTGTTTCAGGGGCTTGCAAGCAGCCACAGATTCCAGTCTGGAGAATTTAGGATGTTGTCAGGCTAATAAGTTTTCTTTCCCTCAAAAAATAAAAGATTTTCTTTCTTAGTTAGACAGAACTGAGATTGTGGGGAAAGTTTACCCCCCCAAAACCAAAAATCAAAGCAAAAACCCACCAACCACCTCTCCCCAAATGCCTATCAATGCAGTACAGCCTAATGATTTAGGATCCTCGTTCAGGATATGTATGATCTGCCCTATCATTTGGATTAGAAATTCCCAATTGGACCCGAAAAACTTGAATAAGAACATAATCAAAAGTGATGTGCTCTTGCAGAAAAATCTAATGCAGGATGATTTTCTACAAAATAGTATTTCTTATACGAAAAACATGAGAAAGTTTCCAGCCTTTCCTTCTTTGTGTATCTCTGTATCCTTTCAAATATCAAATCTGACTTGCCTAGCTACTACATTTCACCCTTTCCCTTCCTCTCTGCACTGTGATGCAGCTGTGCTAAAAATCATGATGGGATGCAGTCATTAATAGACGCACATTGATCAAATGCGATCCTTACACTAAGATAGCCCGTATCTGTAAGAAGTTTTCCTGATCTCAAGTGAGTAGGTGGGTATCCACCATCTGGACTACTACCATAGCCCACAAACAGCCACTAACTTGAGCTCTGCCAACAAGACGTGGAAATTTAAACATCGCAGTTCATAGAAGAGCTGCCTGCAGTTTCTATTGCTGCATAGGTAAATGCTTGCATTACAGTCTGTGTGTGACTGCTTGTTTGTAAATAATTAAAGAACTCACCAGGCTAGATAGATCATAGAAACAATAAAGATGAGTAAAACAAATGCACCAGCAGCTACACCATAAACCCAGGTCTTCAGCCTCCCATCTAAAAGGAATGAACGTTAGTCAGTAGTGTTTGAGTTAGTCTTGTTGAATTATTAGTTCTAAAATAGTATAGAAATACTTTCAAAATCCCAAATAAATGCCTTCACCAGCACAAATACGGCTTAATAGGAGCAGATAATACTAAATAGCTGAGCTTGTGTTTTACACACTCTCCAGGCTTTCCGAGCAGTGAGCTCTCCTGAGGAGCCCTGCTAAGAGGAGAGCCACGCTCGCTCAGGTTTTACTTTCTCTGCACACGTGTCCTGCTCTCCAGCCAAAGTCTCAATAAACCCAGTGGAGCAGGGCGTCACGGGGCAGAGGCAGCGTGGCAGGAACGTAGCTCCCCACCAAACGCAGCCAGTGTTTCAGGTTTAGCTCTGGTGCCAATCTGCCTGTTCTTTTGACTTTGCTGCTATTTACTTCTCTGTTTTTAGATATCTTTAGTGTCTGTTTTTCCTCATTTCCTTATTTGCAGGCACGGTGTCCCTGCAGTCTGAGATACACATTCCACTCTCCTACTTGCCTTGATCCTAGATGCACTCGCTAATCCCAGGAAAAATGAGGGAAGAACCAATGTGACTTTCTCCGGAGTTTTCTCTGAACCCCAAAATAAGCATTTCATAACCTGATACCAATGCATGTTATTTGCCTCATGCTACTTTTATTTGACTCATTTTAACATTTCTAAACCGATATTTGAAAAATACTCTTTTTCAAGAGGCTAGCTAGCCTTTTTACACTTCCTTGGCAATGAAAACTTAATAAAAAAACTGAGTATTTCATTCACAAAGGACAAAAGTACTATTTTATGATGTCATTTCCTAGTCTCTTACAAAACATCATGTGTTACTTTCAACGTCATGCTAAGCCAACGCAGCTAAATTTTTGTACTTCTGACCAAATACTTGTTGCTTCCCAACAGCTCTGTAAAAACAAAAAGGCATTATTAATGCAGTTGATGCTTCTACAACTTGATAACAATGCAAATTAGTTATACTGATTTTATCCAAATTCACCGTAGCCTTCTCTAATGCTGTACAGTTAAGTTCAGGCTTTCTGTTCCCCAACAGTCCAAAGTCTGGAAGTCACGTGGACAACTTGCTCAAGGCTAATTAATATAAAAATATTTTAGCTTCATTACATCAATTCACCTAATGAAACGTTATAACTTGTAGCATTGAAATAACATCAAAAATGGATAGAAGCAGCAGATTTGACCTGACGTAATAAATATCTGAATGATGGTACTTCCAGACTTCATTACCGGCAAAGAGATTATTGTCTTCCTTCTCTGGCTTATTTCCATAGGTTAAAGTTAGCTTTTTTTGTTTGAGTGTTTCTGTTTTTGGTTTTTTTTTCCCCGGTATACTTGTTTTAAAATAATGTTTATTTTATTTATTGATTTATTTATTTTTAATGCTTTATTTATCTTTGCCAAAGCAGAGAACTATGTTAATTCCTATTACCCATCTTCAGGCTCCTAATTCAGGTTCTCTGAATTCCCTCTGGATAACTTATTTTTCTAAATATACAAAAGAACAGGCCTCTCAAAGGCAGCTTTTCGGAGCACTACTTTACCAAGGACCCCTGAAGAGGACACCTGGTTTATAGACCTTCCTTTCCAGCACTGCAATATTATTTAAGGCGGTAAAAGAATTATTTTAAAATTAGACTTGGAAACTCTGATGAATGGAATAAACATGAAAAAGGAGAATATTTCCAACAGTTACCTAGTCCTGGAATGGAAACATTCAATCCTTAATGTCATCTAAAATGCAAAATGTTTGCTTTCTTCCACATCTGCTCATGCTTTCACTGGAAAAAGTATTAGTATCTACAAGATACCACTGCTGAGTTATGTCTCCTTCTTAAACAAAATTTGGAATCACTGAAAAATTAGTGAAGTTTCATAAAACCTCTAAACTGTTCCCCTTTTAAAAAAAAAAAAAACAAAACCACAACTGTCTGAAGTCACATGACCATCCACATTTCTGAACAGTTGATGGAAACCGCCTGCTATTTGCTCATTGTTGGTACTCTGACTGCTACAACACGACCGCTGGCATTTTTAGGAGGAGATATGACTAAACAACAGCATATTTGGTATTTTTTTAAAGAAGGAAGAGCAGAACAGCTTACTTTTCTTCTTTATTGTGGATTAAAGTGCTAACTAATTGGAGGAATGACCATTTTATTGCAGGATTCAAATATTGTATCACAGTATAAGTAACAGTAAATACTATCTATGGCTAATGGGATCTTACGTAAGTATTTCTAACCTGAACATGATTTAATCTGCTTAATAAAAAGTATTGCTGTAGTTCTCAGCTTTGCAGCACTTCAGGGATTATGCATGTAAAGATAATATTTTCAATTTTTAGATTTAAAACATTTATAAAAGCTTTAGAAAGATATGAAAACTATAAGATGCTTAAAGTGATCTCTAATATTTGTTAGAACATTTAGCTCTATATGATTTAGAAGACCCCTAAGAAGATAACCAATTGCTCTTTTGATACAATCAGTATTTTAGGAAAACCTTGTATCTCTTTCTGTGAAATTATTTTGTTACTGGAACACAGTTTTATTTATGTCAATGCTTAATAGCATCAGGAAATATTTACTGAAATCTGATTACATAATGGACTCCATCAATTCTTTTTACAGGGATAACTGACTTGTGACATATGTCTTACCACTCCTGCACGCAAGTGCTTGCTCAGCTCTAAAGAACATGGTCAGTCATAAGCACAAGGGTTGCCTATAGTGACTTTGAGCACGCCTATGCTGAATATCCTGATTATAGTTAGCTCTTGTCTAACGCGAATTAGTTTAAATATGGGTATGGCAGAAAAGCATTAGCGTATCTACATCAATTGTTTCCTTACGATTTACACCACGATTGCAAATTTTAAGCGCTCCTTGCAGATTTCGATGCTACCTTTTTACTCTTCTGTCAGCAGTACTATTGGTTGAGATCGCATAATCTAATATCCTGGCTTGCACCTTTGCAGTCAACTCCCTTCTAAAGTCACATTTCAAATAGCTTCTGTGAATTTTAACAAGTAGCAGTGAATAAAAGGAAATCTTCTGTAACACAAGATTTCATTAAATATATTGATGGAGTAGCAGAGAAGGGTAGGTGTTTACTTATGCCTCCTCCTTTGTTTAAATCGCGTCAGATGACTGTCTTCTTAAATGAACAAATAAGGATTTTGCTTTTCTCGGCATCACAAAAATGTAAATGCCAGACACTGCAGCAGTACTTAGCCTTAAGAACTGCTCATTGTATGACTTCACCTGGCCCAAAAGGCTGCAGAAACCAGGTCCTTCCTCGTCCTGACTGGTTACTGGTGGGCTGGGTGGGGTTCACAGCTCGACTGGTTTTCACATCTCCCTTTTTGTCCTCCATGGTGGGGATCACCACCACCGGGATGAGTGTGCACTGTTCGAGTGTGCCATCAGAGGACATGACTTCAGTGTATCCATCTTCACAACTGCATGTCCTAGTCTGTAGGGAACAAGTGTTTGACACTGTGTAGCAGAAAAACAGTTTTCCATGAGCTATAAATCATAACAACATGGATGACTGGAAGAGAAGACTTTTGATGGGTGCTAGCCAGGAGAATTCACCTCTTCACATACTTTTATGCAGGTTCTTACTGAATTAACACTGAAGTTTCAACATTTCATGGAAAGGCAGAAAACGGTCGGAGGTTGATTTTAACAAAATAATGAGACTAGTATAATTTCTGAGAATACTTTTGTTGGTGCAACCTTTGTCATGCAGAGATGTGTGGGAGGAACTCATGGGGGTGTTTTTTGCTCCAGCGCAGTAGCACATACCTCGCTACAGTAAGCGTGGGGTTGACTGCACGGTGGGTTACATGACCTGTCAGCATCTGGTTGGCGCATCACTAAACAGCCCCCTGTAGGACAGAAAATTATATTTTGACAAACCTCACCACTGATGAAATTACTGTTGTCATTACTTACTACAGTATGCCACAGATTACAATTTTATTGCTGATTTGAACTTAAGAGTGCTACTCTTATTCCAAGGTGAATGAAAAGGAGTCTCAGGTGTTTTCTCATAGGTAGAGTAAGGATATAGCATGTGTATGTGTATTGATGTGCAATTTAACAAACTAATACTTGGCAAGTGAACCTTTCATTTTTCTACTCATTCCTTCTGCGGTTTGCTCAAGAAATAGATTAAATGTTTGGTGGTGCTTGAGGGAACAGATTCTGTTTTTCTAGGATCCTCTTTATGACTCACATGTTAAAACTGTGGCCACAAAGAAAAGCATATTTTTGTCCAACATCTTTGCCTGTTAAACTGAAGACACACTAACCATCCAGTTTATGAATTGGTATTTGTTTTCTGCTGCTTTTCTGTAGTCAGTTTTGTTCATTTTTGTCCAGCTTTGCCTTTTACAAAGCCGCACTTCATGGCTAGTATAAGGAAGGTTCTTCAGAAGGAAAAAAATATTCTCAGTAAAACATATAGTGCATGCTATGATATCAGAATAGTCATTTTCAGTCCTTTTCCATTTTATATAATTCTTGTTCTCATTGCTACAGCTTTATGTGCAGTGCAGAGTTATTGTTACGGACCAACGCACACAATCAGGCTTTCACTATCATTTCAGCCAGAATGATTTTAAAATAAACGTAGAATCAATGTGAATGTACTTGGGTTTCCTTCTATTTTAGGGAAGAGGAATATGCATCACATCATAATTTAAAATTTATAGTGCTATAGGCCAGCTCAATTTGCATCTCTCAGATTAATCACATTCTTATGCTGGTGTGATATGAGGATGAAATCCTGATAGCTGAGGTTGGTCACAACCATAGCAGATGGAGTTAGATGTAGTTATTCTAGCTATTATGCTAGACCGAAGTGTTAACAGGATGGCTGATGAAGAACAAAGAAAACCTTGCCGGTTGCCATAAGTTTTTCCCACCCCCTAGGAAGTAAAATTGTACATCCTAGCATACAAATCACATGCCTGTGAGCATCTATGTAATAAAATATCAGTCATCCAGGGAGCTGCAGAAGGAAAGAGCTGCTTCATCGCCCATGGGAAACAACACCTTCAAGTAAAAAACAACTATTCAGCACAATAATACTACACACAAAAAAAAAAAAGTCAGAGGCCTTAAGATACAAACAGAACTTGTAATAAAACTTTGATCATGCCTGAATAAAAATATACTACTTTGGAGCCAGACATGCAGTAATAAGGCAGCAAAGAAACATGGTAATCTAAGATATGGGTTGATTCTAGGCCAAAGTATGTAATTTCCATCTAAATCAATCATGTACATGTATCTATCAGTTTGAGCTCTTAAATATTGTCATTTATATGCAAAATTTTCAAAAAACCTTGGCACTAAGCTTGCAGTCTGGCTCACTGTTGTATACTTTATTCAGAGAAGTTCCAACAGAACATTATACTTAAGTGCTTTGTTTGAAAACAATCATGAACATATCAAAAATATAGTTTCATACTGAATGGACACTGGCAATTATATTCTCTGGAGTTTTCCACTCATTTATATTTCAAATCAGAAAGGTACCAAAGTTCTAAAACCATCTATTAACACATTAATAACCACGCCTGCACCTTTTGTGATAAGGCCTTTTAATTAAATTAATAAACTAAGTCCTCAGACTGAGCAAGTAATTTACCCTGTGCCTAGCTGTTCTCTTCTCATTTTTGGTCTGTTACCATCTTGCTTGCTGATAGTTTGTTACCTGCTTTTCAACTCTTGTCTTTTCCAGTCTGATCAACATTAATGCAAAGGGCATTGCATCAGATACTTCTCTGATATTCTAAATATGCTAGATCTACCTCTTTTCCTTATTTAAAACAGTCAGTTTCCATTAGTCTGATACGATAGTTCTTTGGTAACTAAGGATGCTTTTTCCTCCCTATTTTTCATTTACCTCCATTTACCTTCATAGAGGCCAGATTATCTTTATATTAAATCCATTTGCAAGAATGAACAAATCTTAAAAAAAGAAAATAATTATGAGGCTTTAACACAGCCAAAATAATGGAACTTATCATATACAAGAAGCAATTCCACTTATCCATGTAGATATATAGAAGCACATCATGAAAAATCTGTCAGCAACACAAAGTTATTCAATTCGCTTTCTTGGAATTTTTCACATGGCTGTATTCAGTCACACCAGAACAAACTACTATTTACATGCAACTGATTGGGATTTATGAATAAATTCTATTTTTTAACATCTCAGAGCCATAATCTCCAAATGCTGTTTATTCTGAAGGCCGGTAGAACCTTTCAAACATTATATAATGTATTAATCTCAATGAGAATTCTTATTTATAGTTTTACTTACCACACAAGCATTTTAGCTAGGCAGAAGGCAATCAAAGTTCATAAATCCTCAAATCAAATTGCATTCGGTATGAAGATGGTGGGTTTTAACATTTTTTACAGTACGAGGTGCAACTTACAAAAGAGACTTTGGCCTGCCAGGAATTATTTCCAAACCTTGTAAAAATGATACTGTCTCAATAGGCAGTAGGGGTGATTTCAGTTGTTAAGAAGTATTGTACTAGCAGGCCATGAATTAGGGTCCCACTCCTGCAACCGACCTGACAGTGACTGGCATTGAGGAGGTGCTTATGATGTCTGGGGCTTTTGTACTCTCATGGGGGCGGATATCAAAATTATTTAAATAATGAATGCAAAAATCTCAACCTTAAGGAACCCACAATTCTGATAAACAAACTTATATAATAATGAGATACATATGAAGAATTGCTTGAATTCAGAGACTTCAGTTCATTCTTAGTTCATGTTGGTTTGTACTTCGATTTGCACCAAAAATAACAGCATCCAGAAGCTGAACGCCTTGGACTACTCAAGTATTTTGGTATAGATTTACCCCATTGACTTAAATGAATATATCTATATTAATATATTTATTAAAATCTGGTATTTTGTACTTTCATGGAAGTATATGACACATACATGATATTATCAACCACTCTCTGGCTCTGTGTAGGCATTGAAATGTACACAGGAAACATACATACACACTTTAAATACATAAAAAGTTCTGCTTGTTGTAGGACTTGAAATCTGAAATCCTACAGCTAGAAGAGTATAAATGATTACAGAAAAAATACATAATGTAAAACATTCCAAGTCCAATATAGAAGATAATATTTTATGTTTACTTTTAGCATTACATAATTCTGGGAAAGAACTGAAGTCTTTTCTATGCAATAACATGGCAATCCAAGAAAATTAATTAATTAACCACATTAATTAATACATTAGGAACAAGTGTTCTGAGTGGCTGCAGAGTGTTTTTGGAAGATCATTGTAAAAGATCTCTCTGCTTGTTGGAAGAAAAGATGCTTTCCACTTGTTTTCTAAGCTTCTGTATGTATATAAAAAGAGTAGTTACCTGTGACATTTAAACCATCTGACCTTTGGCACCACACCGTTCGAGAAGACCCCTTCCACGGGCTAGCCATCCACTTGTACTCGTAACACTGGCCATCTGTACAGAGAACATCAACTGTTCAAGACACTTGGTGACAAGGCTTTAGGCTACCACTCTCAGCCACACTCATCAGTAGTAGCAGTAATTCTAGTTAAGAAAATGTAACATCTTTTATGGCTAAATGGCCCTCTCCTTTCACCCAGCAACTGAAGAAGGTGTACTGCACACATGCAGGCCCAGCAAGGTCTCCGATGCTTACTGCACACATATAGAATAGATCGTTATGTCTCCTGGACACTAATTATCATGTTCTGCATACCCTGCACATGGGGTATGTGCCCATAAGCCCAATGCAGTTAACAGGAAAAAAAGATGCTTCCAACAGCCTTGTAATGGTTGTGGCCCATCTGCTGTGCAAGAGTCATTTAGGAGCTAAGTTTCTTCCGTGGTAGCTCTGGGATTCAGTCATTGCTTGAGTGCATGATGAAGCGGTCGGTAATTTAAGCACTTGACCTGATCTAGATTCAAATCTCAGCTCTGCTGTATGTCACTCACTCACTAGGATAAATCAGGCAATCTTTCTGACCTTTCTTTAGTTCCCTCATTTGTAAACATAGATTTCTTTTTCCCCATTTGTCTGGCACTGTTAGAATAGACAAGAAATGTGTGGACCAGAAATGTCCTTTCCTAGATGCTCTCTTCAGTAGTAAGCATAATGGAGGCTTTTCAATGTTGTGGTCATGTGATTAATAGCAATTCAAGGGGAAGAGGGAAATTTAAATTTGGTTATGTATCAAGACTTGAAGGATTTTTTTTTTAATTAAGATGTTATAAGGAGACAGGCAACTTTTTTTCCCCAAATCATACAATGGAATAAAATAAGATCAACAATTCCCGAAGAATTGCAAGTAAAGCCCAAAAACACAATGGTTAACATTTTATAACATTTTAAAAACTTTTCTGTTTCTAAATTCTGTTTCAAAAAACAAAGAAACAAACAAAAGCACATTTCCATGTCTAGCAAATCCTTATCTCTCTAATTTTGGTATCCTGAACAGGAAGAAAACAATATTACTGTTGTTCTATATTTTTTTTACATTGCTCTCACAGGAAGTGTATTTTGGTGCTTACCACTGCATGGTCGTGTTTCCAAAGCCTGTTCTGGACAGAGATGTTGATTCTCTAATTCTTGAATGATCACTGCCCGAGATCGGACTTGCACCCCTCCAAAGCCAAGGTCCTCACCATTAACGCAGGTTAACTGGCAAAGGCTCCATTCTGACCACTCTTTCAAGTAACAGTCCCCTGTCGAGTAATAATTTTATAATAAGATGACAGATCACCATATATGAAGTGTTTTCAACATGACGATGTCTTGGAAAAACTTGTCCAAAACCTGTTTCTTAACTTTCATTCTTTAGCTCCTTTCATTCCTCATTTTAAATTTGTTTTATTCTTAACTGAAGATAATATTTTGAAATCTATCTGAATATCTGTATAGTAGAAAATATTTTTAAAAAGATGAACCAAAAGCCTGTTTATTCTAAAGCTGTGTAGTGTTCTGTAGCAATCCCATGTGATTACTCTCATTTTGAAACTGAGCAACATTCACTTTACATTTGTGTTTTTTTGTAAATTGTAGGGCACTATATGCCTTAGTTTAATTTTATACATGACCTTGATGATGCTTTGATCTTACAAAGATTAAAAATTGCCTAGCTTTAAAAAGATTAATTGTTGCTTATACTCATGAAGAAGATCTTAAAACAGAGAGTATCTTATAAATCTACTGAAAGAGTATATTGAAAAGAAGCTACTGCTGTAACAGTCTTTCCAAGAAAGGGAAATGGAAAGGCGATTAAAATTACTGTGTGTTAGGATAACAGGAATCTGTAGAATGTTATAGTGTAAAATCAAAAAAAAAAAACTATACTAATGACATTAATTAGCATGATTGGCTAAAGAGCATTTAAAGAAGATCTGAGGCACAACATAAAGAGACCATTTTGTTAAAACTGCTGTATAAAATGGGACTAGACTGTACACAGACTCATAAATAAACCTCTTTGTACTCATTATTTCAGTGAAGGAACTATTAAAAATTAATGCTACCTTGCATTATACTGATGACAGATATAATCAGTATTGTGTTGACCAGATGCCTGATTAATGATGGAATTCTATTTGCCAACATTAGGAAAGCATGTGAAGAAATGAATAATTGAAGAACTGACGTATACATAATAGGAAAACAAGTAGTGATTTTTGGAAACATTAGCCGGAGTGCATCATTAGCACATCCCCACAGGGCAGTTATCCTTGCTGGCTAAATGTGAGATTGTTCAAGCACAGGTTGCTGTTCAGTAAGATGGTACAATCAAGCAATAAGAAGCTATATTTGTAAAATTTGACTAACAAGAAAATATAATTATGAGCTTTTTTATTTTTTAAATTTTCATTTAATAAGTAGGAATATGGGAAGAACATGCAATGTAAATACTGAAATGCCACAGCTGTGCCTAATCTAAATGAAAGTTCCTATGACACTTCTAAACAAAAAGCAGTGATGAAAACCTCCCTGTTTTCGATTATTTGCTATTTGCCGAGGCACCTTTACCTTCAGTCCAATCTGAAATGAATTGGAAAAATATTTCTGAGAAGGAAGAGAGTTGCAAAAGAATAAAAACATACTGTTTGTATGGAATGGTAGCTGCAATATTTTAGAGCTGAAGGAGTTAAGCACTACCTCTGAAAATATATCACTAGTTACCCTACTGAACAACAGCAACAGACTTCAAATTCTACAAATAAGTGTTTAAAATGAACTGGAGGGGTTTGACGGAAATTAAGCAGCAGTTATGGGCTCTTAATCCTTCTCAGTATTGGGATCACGGAACTGATGAACAGCTCCTTTGGTTTGGTCTGCAAGGGCAATGATAGTGCCTGCCATGCCTGGCGAGTTAAGGACCTAGAAACACACAAATTTCCTCAGAGATCAAGATACGAGTTTCATTTAGAATAGCCCTTTCAACAAACGATAAAGCTCCTTAGCTTGGTTTCCTTAGCCCCCTGTAAAAGGCATCAAGCTCTTACGCCCTGTTAACATTACTAATAAAGCTGTTACGTGGTCTAAGCTTAATACAAATATTTAGCCGCAAACTAGCAAGCACCCTTTCCTGTAGATTTAAACACAAGTTTTATTTGGAAATATTTTGAGGAAAATATACATTCTTATTAGGCATAATCTGTGGCTGAGATTTCAGTATAATTTCAAAACATGCATTTTTTTCATTTTGATTTACTGTCATGAAACTGCTGCTGGAAAGTAACTTTGTTGGTCATTTGATGGATTAGCCCAATAAAGCATGTGAGAAAGATTTCATTGCCTGTGGCTTATCTTAGATACCGATAATGGTAAAGATACCCAAAGAATGTTGAAATGCAGTAATATTAATTTAAGTCGCTTTGTTACCTGGACAAGGGACAGTGCAGGTTTCCTCAAGTACCATCTTCTTACTACCATCTATAATAGGCTCTACTTCACCACAGAATTCTTCATCTACTACTTTGCCAACATCTTCAACGGATCCATCAAAAACCACGCAGGAAATGTTCCTCACTCGTGTCCCCTCTCCACACTGAGCATCCTGGGAAAGGAGGAGATACATGGGTGCTGGACACAAGAAAGTGCCAGTCTTTACTGGCTACATCGTCAGGCTTTGAATTGTATGCAGCGTGTGTTAGTGGCTTGAAAAACTGAATCTGATTTAGATGTCTTTGTGTCTCCTATTAATTTTTGCCCATCTTCTTATTCATTCCAGCAGAAAGGAAAAAATGGCAATACTATCTACTTCTGAGACCAAAAATTCATTCTGCTGGCTGCTATTGCTGTTTCTTAAAGAACGGAGCTAGGCTTACACCTTTAAACTGCAACCACACCAGTATCTGAAGGGCAGATCTCTTCTAGGATGAAGCTGTCTGTTTTAGCAGAAGGACGTTAACCTACTTCCACAGATATTCTTTCACCGTAGAAGGATTTCAATTTATTAGCACAGATACTGCTCTAGTATAAAAGCGTACCTTTATTCTTTGCTATTTCTAGGACACTATTATATCTACTGACAAATATGAATTCTAAGGACAAATATTTATTCAGTTTTTGCATAAGAGATATGGAAGCAAATTAGCTACACTATCATGCAGCAGGTATCTGAGCTCATCACAGATATGCCTAGATACTCAAACACAGTGACTTCAAAGCCCTCTGTGGCTTTTACCTCTACTTTGCACTCAGACCACTGGCCATATTGCCATCGATAACAAGGTTTTACTGGACAGGGTTTGAACTGCTCCATCTGAGAAGGACAAGGCCTCCCGTCACCCTGAAACGGCTGATTCACAGTTCTTCTTCTGATCATTTTTCCTGTAAACGAGAGACAGCAATATAAGTAAAAACAAAGTAGATGGACTAAGTTGTGTTTGAATAACGTAATTTCACATTTGAAAAACTACACTGTGAAGGAGATTCGTTGGCTCTTGGCTGTTATATGGATTTTACGTTTTATGCGTTAGACACTTCATATTCTATCACTTGTTTGTACTGCAAGAAGTTCAGCA